GTTATAACCTTCCTATAATCGTTATAAAAGTTAATATGCGTAATAGGTTCAAAATAAATTCCAGGACTATGTGATATAGGTATGATCCTCGACTCAGCGTGGCTTTGGCTTCCATAGCATAAAGCTCTGAAAAATATATAAAATAAGTTAAATTTAAGGAGTGTTAATAGCAGGCTTAATCTCGTTTATATGATACTTAACATGTTTACGACCTACTTGTAAAGTAACGTTGTGCTTATTATGGACTTTTATAATTTTATATGGACCTTTCCATATAGGTGATAGGGCCTTACGGAGTCGGTGATGGTGTTTTATATAAACTAAGTCACCAATTTTATAAGAAATTTCTCGTGAACTTACATCGTAATATTGTTTGGATTTTTCTTTGCTATTAATTATATTTTGAATGGCCTTTTCTCTACTAAAACGCATTCGATATTGTAAAGCTCGAATATATTCATTATAAGTGGTATTATTGTTCGTTTCATATAGAGAATTAGGGATATTAGGTTTATAACCATATAATAATTCATGAAGGGTGAAATTGGTAGTGCAATCATTATCATTATCATTACAGCCCTTCACAAGTCCACTGCTGAACATAGGCCTCCCCCAAAGAATGCCACAAAGCACGGTTCTGATCCACCTGCATCCATCGACTTCCTGCATGTCTTACCAGGTCGTCACTCCATCTCGTGGGGGGACGCCCTACACTTCGCCTACCGGTACGAGGCCGCCACTCGAGAACCTTTCTTCCCCATCGTTTGTCGGTTCTTCGAGCTATATGGCCGGCCCACTGCCACTTCAGCTTACTAATCCGTTGGGCTATGTCGGTTACTCTGGTTCTACTGCGGATATCCTCATTCCTATGTTTATCACGCAGAGAAACTCCGAGCATAGCCCTCTCCATAGCTCGCTGAGCGACCTTGAGCTTTCTCATCCGGCCAGCAGTGAAGGACCACGTCTCAGTTCCGTAAGTCATCACTGGCAACACGCACTAATTGTACAATTTCGTTTTAAGGTTTTGAGGTATGTCTGACGAGAAGATGTGTCTTAGCTTCCCGAACGCTGCCCAGCCGAGTTGAAACCGTCGATTGACCTCTCGGTCGAAGTTGGACTTACCTAGTCGGACTATTTGTCCCAGGTAAACATACTCGTCAACAACTTCGAGCTTAGTGTTCCCAACAACTACCGGCATAGGTGTGACATGGACATTAAACATGATCTTTGTTTTGTCCATGTTCATCTTAAGACCTATCCGTTGGGAAACACTATTGAGGTCATTGAGCATAGTGCTTAGGTCCTCCAGCGATTCTGCCATAAGGACTATATCGTCGGCAAATCGAAGGTGAGTGATGTACTCGCCATTGATATTGATACTGTATCCTTTCCAGTCCAGAAGCTTGAAAACGTCTTCCAATGCAGCGGTGAAGAGTTTCGGGGATATGACGTCACCCTGTCTTACACCTCTCTGCAATTGGATAGGTTTCGTACTCTGTTTCTGTACTCGGATAGCCATCGTAGCCCTACTGTACAAGCACTTCAATACTTCGATATACCGACAGTCAACTTGGCACCGCTGAAGGGACTGCAGCACCGCCCAAATTTCGACGGAATCAAAGGCTTTCTCATAGTCCACATACGCCAGACATAGTGGCAAATTGTACTCTTCGGACTTTTTGTCGGTACAATTTGCCGAAGGGTATGTATGTGGCCTATGGTGCTAAAGCCCTTTCGGAAACCGGCTTGTTCGGGAGGCTGGAAGTCATCAAGTCTGCGCGCGAGACGATTCGTAATGACTCTCGAAAACAGCACGTAGACGCGGCTCAGAAGGGAAATCGGTCTGTAGTTCTTCAAGAGAGCGTTGTCACCTTTCTTGAAGAACAAGACCACCGCACTTCTGTTCCACGCCTCCGGTGTAATGCAACCCTAGAGGACGGAATTAAAGAGCTTCTGAAGGACTTCAAGTACCGGTCTTCCACCCGCTTTCAGAAGCTATCTTCGGAATAGTGTCGGATGAGACTCGCTCTTGGATCGTTACTCACACTTGCGTGTGGCTCCAACGATGACGTGTACAACTGCCCATAGAACCTCTCAATCTCACTCAAAATCTCAGGTGTCCTGGAAACGATGCTGCCACACTCTGTCTTCAGCTTTGAAAGTTGGCTCTTTCTGGCAGACCGATCTCTGGCAAAGACTTTGGAGCCTTGGTTCCGTTCGATCGCTTCTTCAATACGAGCTGTACTGAAGTTGCGTAAGTCCCGCCGCATGTATTTGGAGATCTGTCTGTTCAGATGCCTGTATGCTGTCAAGTCTGCTGAAGAATGTAGCTTCATCTCCCGTCTAACAGCCATGAGATTAAGAGTGTGATCGGAGAGTTTTTGTGTTCTTTTGCGGCGGGTCTTGCAGAACTTATCTCCGACCGCATGGACAGTTTCCACGAGCTTGTCATTCAAATCGTCCACTTCATTGCAGTCTTCTAGGCACTGAAAACGGTTTTGTAACTCGAAATGAAAGGTTTCGGGACTTTGGATTAGAGCACGAGGGGGACGGAGCGTTGACTTCATTAGACGAGACCTCTCCAACTTAACGTTTAGGTTCAGTGTGCCTCTAACCATTCGGTGATCGCTACCAGTTTTCACCCTCGCGATCACGGAGACATCACTGAACAGTTGTTGTCTGGTCGTCATAATGAAGTCAATCTCATTTTTTGTCGAACCGTCGGGGCTCGACCAGGTCCACTTCCTGTGGGGCCGCTTCTGGAAGAAAGAGTTCATCATAAAGAGTCCCTCTTTCTCCATGAAGTCGGCCAGCTGCTGGCCCCTTGGGTTCCGTTGCCCTATTCCAAATTTCCCTACTTTCAGCTCACCGTTCTCTCTTGTGCCTAGTTTTGCGTTGAAGTCTCCCATTAACACCGTATATTGGGTTTTGGAGGAATGCATGGCTCTAGAGATATCCTCATACATTTCCTCCACCTCCTCATCGGGGTGTGCCGAGGTTGGTGCGTAAACCTGTATGACCTTCAGCGAATACCGTTTGGTGATTCTGAGTATAAGGTACGCAACCCTCGTCGACACACTCCCGATCTTTACAACGTTGTTAACGAGAGACTTGTGGACGATAAATCCGACACCTCCTTGGGACAGATGGTCGCCCTCCCGGTGATAGAGCCAGTTGCCGGTTTCGAGGATTACCGTGTCCTCCCCCTCTCTTCGGACTTCGGATAATCCTATAATATGCCAGCGCAACTTGTCTATCTCTTCTTCCAGCTCCACAATCTTCTCGTCAGTCCTCAGGGTGCGTGCGTTGTACGTTGCCAGGTCGAGTCGTCTAAGGTGGCAACCGAACCTCCACCGGAGATTCTTAGCACCCCCTGCCCCGCCGTTACCATGGTCGCCACCGTAGCCAGGAATAGCGGGGCCGCCGGGGACTGGGGACCGTTTCTTTGTTACTGTCATTAATAGGGGGTAGTGCAATGAGGGGTAGTATTATAAGCTAATATTGCGGTAAATAAATAACAATGCCAGTCGTTCTGGTTTTCATTAACAAAAGATTTGAAATATTCTTTTAAAGTAGTATGTGAGCGTTCTAGAGCTCCATTTGTTTGTGGGTGGTAAGGAGTATTAAATAAAGCCTTTACTTTTAAGATTTGAGTTAATTCTTTAAATAAATCAGACGTAAAACAAGTACCTAAATCCGTTAAGATTGTTTTAGGGAAACCGAAAAGAGACATAAAATGTACAAGATTTCTGGCTATTTCTTCACTGGTAGCTGTGACAAGGGGATAAGCACTTGAAAATTTAGTTAAATCATCTTTTAATGTAAGGATGAATTTGAATTTTTGAAAACCTGCGTCAGGTAAAGGACCAACGATGTCGAGAGCTAATCGTTCAAACGGTCTAGTGGAAGTAGAAGTTATTTCCATTGGGGCCTTATTGGCCATTCTTAATGGTTTATTAATTTAGCATAATTGGCATTTCTATACATAATCTACAATGTCAGAGCGCATACTTTTCCAATAATAGGCGGCTTTAGTTCGTCTATACATACGACTTGAACCTGGGTGACCCGCAATAGGTGAATCGTGATTCTCTTTTAAAATTCGACGGGAGTAGGATAAATTAATTGATTTTTGTATATATGAATTTTAATGTTAGTGTTATGAAAAATATAGGCAATTATATTATGTACTTTAATATAAGCTAGGTTAGAAAATAGATCTGAAAAGTCTGATAAGGCGAGATCTGTAATATCAGGGTTCTCGATTAAAATTTTATCTCTGAGTTTTATAATTAAATTGTAAATATCTTTAAATTTGGTTTCTTCATAATGATTAATTTTAGTGTACATAAAATAGTAAGATTTATTCTTATCCTTTACGCATTGATTTGTAAATGGTTCGCGTTCGGAATTTAATAAGTCCTCAGGCTTGTCTAATTGTGCTAATATTTCTTCACAGTGAGGTATAGATGAGTCAAAATCTAAAGAGACGGGACACGCAATAGTTTTTAGTTTGGATAGGTGTAATCCTTGAGTACATTCTAAGATTATTGTATTTGAAATAGGAGTTTTATTTGTAAATTGGTTTTTAAAATATTTTTCATAACTAGAATTATTTAAAGTGTTAATATCTATAACATTAACGGGACAGCGAGATAACGCATCGGCGTTAGAATTAAGACGGCCTTGTTTATAAACAATTTCGTAATCGTATTCTTCGAGTTTTAAGCGTCAACGAATGAGTCTACTACCTGGGTCTTTGACATTGAATAGCCATACCAATGGTCTATGATCGGTAACTATTTTGAATTTATTACCGTAGAGGTAAGGACGAAACCTTTTGACTGCGAATAGAATGGCTAGAAGTTCCTTTTCGGTAGTTGAATAATTGCCTTCGGGACGTTTTAGAGTACGTGATGCATAAGCTATCGGTTTATCTTTGCCTACAGGACCTTGGGATAAGATTGCACCTACGGCATAATTACTTGCATCTGTAGTTACTATGAACGGTTGAGAGAAGTCTGGATATTGGAGCAGCGGAGCAGAACATCGAAAGCAATTTGTTGTTCTTGAAACCAGTGGAAAGTAATATTCCTTTTTAATAAAGAAGTAAGTGGTTTTGTCAATTTAGAAAAATTATCAATAAATCGGCGATAATAGCCTATTAGGCCTAGGAAGGATTTAATTTCTTTAGGGCTTTTAGGAATTGGAAATTGTGACACTGCTTTTACTTTTTCTGGATTAGGAGAGACACCCTTATCGGTGATAATATGACCAAGATAAGTTACTTCACGTCTTAAAAATTCGCACTTATCTGGTTGCAATTTTAGATTGTATTCGCGCAGTTTATTGAATACTAGTTTTAATTTTTCCATATGTTCGTTTAAATTATGACTATAAATTATGCAATCATCTAGATAAACATAGCAGTGTAGACCTTGCAAACCTGATAAGACAGTATTCATCAGGCGCTGGAAGGTAGAAGGAGCGTTTTTTAAACCAAAGGGCATTCTAGTGAATTCGTAGTGACCAGACATGCTCGAATTAGTACTTATAGTAAATCCCGTTTTTGGGGCATCTTTAGAATCCATCTTTATTTGGTGGAAACCGGTAGCAAGATCAAGGGTTGTGAAATACTTGGAATGGCCTAATTGGTCTAGGATATCAGTGATAAGAGGCAGGGGATAACTTTCTGAAACTGTGATGTCATTAAGATGGCGATAGTCAATGACTATTCTCCACTTTCTTTTGCCAGAAGCGTCTAATTTTTTCGGGACTACCCATACAGGGGCGCTCCAAGGCGAAACAGAGGGACGAATTATGTTTTGATTTAGCATTTTGCGAATTTGTGTATCGACTTCTTCCTTATGACACTCAGGGAAGCGATATGATTTTACGTGAACTGGGGCCGCGTTACCCGTATCTATGGAATGTTGGATGCCATTCGTAAACGAAAGGGGTTCACCTTCGAGGTGAAAGATATCCGTATAATCGGAACAGCAATTTAAAAGTGCTTTCTTTTCTTCATCGTTGAGATGGGAGCAGCGTAAAAGACTTAATACTCGATCTATTCGATTAGATTTAGAAGTAGAAATAGAATACAAACATTTACTAGATATTGGATTTTCGCAGGAAATAGAATTATTATAATCGATCGGTGTCAATTCTACGAAATAATCTTTAATTTCTAAGTCTGTGTCAGTCGTGTTTAAAACGGTGATGTTAACTTTTTTGTTTGGTTTTATTGATACAATACAATTCGCGACGTAAATACCCTCGCTTAAGGTATAATCTAGAACTAAGCCTTCATTATTGTGATGAAGCTCGACCGAGTAATTTGATATAGCGCATTCAATGACGGCTTCTGAGCGTGCCGGAACGATGTACGTTGGCTGATGAAATATAATGGGAACTTGGTAACCACACAGAGTCATTATCTTAGATCTATAATCTATATTAGCATCAAAATATTTAAGAAAATCTGTACCAATATTACCGTCGTAATTAAGATTTATATGATCGTCAATAACGTAAAATTTATACTCGTAAGTTTCATCACTTAATAAAAATTGTAAGTAGATTGAGCCTAGCGTTTCGCAATATGTATCCGTATCATTTATACCTTTGATTCTTATTTTGTCCTTAAGAAGTTCATGTTTCATTTTTAAACATGAGTGTTTAATGACACAGACACTCGCGCCGGTATCGATAAGAAGTTTGAGACACTTAGGAGAATATTTTGTAAATAGATTTTTATATGGTAACGAAACCTTGCATGTATTTATGCTCGTTTCAAAGATAGGAATAGAATCAGAATAAGATTCATTAAGACTCGGCTTAACCTCTTTTGGTTGCTGTAAAGCGTGCACTGGCGCGATAAAATGGTAGGAAAACTCGAAAACCAAAAATTCGTTAAAACCGTTTATTTTAAATTACACAACGTAGGTACACGAACAAAGCATATGAGAGAGAGCGAAGGTACGTGTGTCGCGAGCGATAGTAAAGGCTGACTGACTGCGTCACCGTTCGATTTCTACCTTAAAATTTAATATTATATTTAAAACATATGAGATGATTGGGCCGTCATAACCGCCACCTTAAGGTAATACAAATTTGTATAACGATTTTTGAGCACGTCGCTAACACACCCCACCCCAGTGCTGGCTCAGCACTACTCAGACAAAGGAATTCTAGCGACGCGCGCCGCTGAACGTCTCAGCGTCCCTGATTTGGTTCTGATGTCAACCAACCTGACCCGGCCGTCCTTGCCTGGAAACACCTGTTCCACGATCGCCCTCTGCCATACGTTGCATGCCGCTCCAGGGTCCACGACCAGCACGAGATCACCTACCTTTAGCGGTTCGCGCTCCTCATTCCACTTCCTTCTAGGTATCAGCTCCGGTAGGTACTCTGTTACCCATCTGCGCCAATACATATCAGCTAAGCGTTGACTCTTTCGCCACTGTTTTCGTAGGTACAGGTCAGAGTCATCAAAGACACCTGCAGCAGGTAAGTTGGAGCTCTTACCCAGCAGAAAATGGTTTGGCGTCAACGACTCGTCGCTACCAGGTTCTACAGACACATGAGTAAGGGGGCGGCTGTTGACTATATTCTCGACTTCAGTCATAAAGGTGGCGAGAACTTCATCTTTGGGGACACGCTCTTTGAGTATAGCCCCTAGAGATACCTTAACGCTACGTATTAAACGCTCCCACGCCCCCCCCAATGGGGGCTCGCCGGTGGGATAAAAGACCATTGCGTCCCATTGTTAACAGCCTCGTTCTTTAGGGTCTCGTCGTCAAGTTCCTGGATCGACTTCAGTAGCTCCGCATCAGCGCCACGTAGGTTAGTTCCGTTATCGGAGTAAAGGCAGCGTGGCCACCCTCGGCGGGCAGCCATACGCTGAAGGGCCATAATTAGTGAGTCAGTAGTGAGGGAATGCACGATCTCCAGGTGTATAGCCCGAACTGTAAGGCATGTAAATATGACACCGTACCGTTTTTCCCTTCTCCTCCCTATCACCACCTCCATCGGTCCAAATAGGTCCACACCGCAGTGTGTGAAAGCTCGCTGGTGATGCGCCACTCTAGCGGGAGGTAAATCGCCCATCACTGGCATTTCCGGTTTCGCCTTCCTTATTCTGCAGATCATACATCCGGCAGCTACATGTTTAACAGTGGGTCTCATTTTAATGATCCAGTACCTTTGCTTTAGGTTATTTACCACTGTCTCCTGGTTTCCGTGAGCAGCTTTTATGTGGAAATGTCTTACCAACAATCGCGTCACTCGATGTCGCCCGTCGAGGATACTCGGGTTTTTTGTCTCGGAAGAGACATCAAGTGCCGCACCAATGCGTCCGCCGCAACGAAGGACGTCCAAATAAGGTGACAAGTTGAGAATACGACTGTTGCGGGGCAAACATTTACCTTCTCTAATTGCGCTCACTTCCGTGCCGAAGGCCTCGCTCTGTACCCGTCAGAACAGCAAACGTTTAGCCTGTTCCATTAATTCGTAATCGTCATCGGTACGTTTCCTGCACTTACATATAAATCTAAGAACAGCGGCTGTACTTTTGAGCAACCGCAGCCACGAAGAAAACCGTTCCGGATCGGGAGTAGGCTCGACACTAGGGATGTCCGTAGTAACCATATTCATTCAGTTGTCTCGACATCGGTGACAGGACGAATGACGTGACGCGGCCACGATGACTCATCGTCACGCAGAAACGTAGGGCCCCCCAACTCTTAAAAATGGCGTCGTCGTAGGTTTCGCGTGTAGCTATATCCGCAACATTTAATTCAGTAGGCACGTATCGCCATTCTTTACTACTAGTGACCTCATCAATCTCGCCCAACCAGTTTGCTACAAATGTTTTATAATTTCTCGCGTCATTATTAATCCAGTGCAAAACCGTGGTCGAGTCACGCCAAAAGAATCGCTGTAACACGCTCAACTTATGCTCCTTAACAATGGTGTCGGCGAGTCTCGCCGCTAGAAGCGCTGCTTGCAACTCTAGTCGCGGCACAGTCAGTGGTTTTACCGGCGCAACTCGACATTTACTTGCTATAAATGCAACAAACACATTACCATTGCACGTCCACCGCCAATAAGCTACAGCGCACATCGCTTTAGTAGATGCATCGCAAAAAACATGCTGCTGTGTGTTATTGTACTTCGTAGCACTCGTAGCTCGCGCGGTTTCGTAGCTCCCGGTCAGTCGCGTAGAGGCCGTAGCGGGCTGCGCGGGCGTAGGCGGGCCGCGGGGCGCGGGGGAGCACTGACCTGCTACGATATCAGCTGTGTCCGTTGCCATGCGATCACCTGTCTCGCTCGCACCTAGAGGGCTTAGGTAGCACCTAGGAATGCGTACATTACTCACTTCCTTTAGCAAATCGATCCAGGTTTTCCATTTATTAAAAATGCTATTGGGAATCTCGTCGTCCCAGCCAATGTTTGATCGCCAAAGATTTTGAAGCATTATTTTACCTTGTATTGTGAACGGCGACAAGAAACCAAAAATATCGTAAATAGACATAATTACTCGCAGCATAACCCTTTTAGTAGGCACTTGTGCTCCGTTCACTACGTACTCTGAAATGCGCTTGAAGGATAAATCAAACCCCAGCTCGTCTTTAGCGGGAAACCAAATAAGACCGAGCGTTCGTTCTCCTTCGCACTGCTGACCCATTTTGAGACTTACCGCCACTGTACCTAAGGTGTCTTTTGGTATGCTGTCCAACACTACTACACTGTTACTTTTCCAATTGCATATTTCGAAGCCGCCCTCTTTGTGAATGTAAACAATATCTCTTACCATCTGCGTCGCGGTGGCTTCGTCCGGGAAACTGTCCAGATAGTCGTCCATGTAGTGCTGGTTGCAGATAGCGTCGGCAGCAGCGGGCAGCGACGAAACGAAACGTTCCGCGTTCCTGTTTTTCACGTACTGTGCTATAAATGGGGAACAATTAGCACCGAATATGAGCGAAGTCATGTTAAAAGTTTTGACCGATTGTTCGGGGCGAGGTCTCCACAAAAATCTAAGGGAATTTTGATCCTCGTCCCTTATTTTAATTCTCAGGAACATATCTTTAATGTCCCCGGCTACAGCGACCCTATTCTCTCTAAAACGTACCATAATGCCGAATAGGGACGCGAGTAAGTCGGGACCTTGCAATAGGTAATCATTTAAACATTTTCCGTGACTTTTCGCTGCTGCATCGAAAACGAAACGCAACTTTTTTTTATTAGGATTATCGACCCCAAAGTGTGGTAAATACCACGTTCGCGGTGTGCGCCGAATATCAGTCGACTCTTTAGCGAAATCATTAAGTAAAAGGTGATCCACTCGTTCAGAGTAACGTTTAGCGTAGTCAGGGTTCGCCACCATCTTTTTTTCTACTCCTTTGAACCTGTTTGCAAGCGTTAGCGTAGCTATCGGGCAACACGCAGCCTTCATCGCGCCACGGAAGCCCGACGTGCCAGCGGCCCGCCACGAGCGTTGCCGAGCGCTCCACCTGAGCGCGCGCGCGCACGTCTTCGCTGTTCTCACGGGGTTTGCTACACACACCTAGGGAATCGAGCATGAATGAGCGCCTTACCTCATCATGAAGTTCGCGAAGCAAGTCCTCAGCATCACCGGCGGCGGGCGCGGCGGGCCCCGCGCTTCAGCACAGCAGAGGGCTCGGGTGCGAGGCGCGGGTGCCGTGTGGCGGTGCGCGCGCTATTCCATGTAAGGACCAGCCTAGGGTGGTGCGAGTAGCGGACGGCTCATTACGTTTACCGATACACATTTCAATAGGAGCTAACAAATGATGATTATCCTGGCCGATTAGTACTT